CCAAAATAGGTAAAAAAAAGTCTCTAATTGCCAACTCTCGGTTGCCTAGAGGGCCTTTCTGTTCGTAAACCCTGGGTTCATTGCGAATTAAAAGTGAATTTCCCATTTTACGTCACATTAGTAAAATTAGAAAATAATAATGGGACCTGTGTCTCTGCTGGGCTCAGAGGTGCCATATAGCACTGGTGACACACTTCTATCCAGTCGCCAATCACTGGTTGAGAGTGTAAACTGACCACATTCAACCAATAAATTGGGACAGTGCGCATATAAATTTGTACAGAATTGTCACGTACCACGAGCTATTCATTGGCAGAGACCCCAGTGATGCTGCTCCAATGACCCTACCAAAGGGGGAGATCCCCCTATGGCGGCAAAGGGGTTAAACTCCATATATACAGCCCTTCATACTGAAAAACTGCACATCACTGAAGTGGTCATGGTGTTTGGAGTAGCCCTTAGAATTTTCTTATCGTATCTACAATGATCACATGGAAGCCACGCATAATTATTACATGAATGGGAGGAATGGGTTATATTCCTGGATACATTTATTGGGTGTGGGTGATTTCCTGATAAACAAGAATCACATTGCCAATATAATAATCCATTGCTGTTAACAGTCTGACTCTGATATATTAGTGTATGGGGGGACAATTTTGAATTAGGGAGCACTATTTTCTGAAAAGCCACATCAAGATGTCAATGGTCACATAGTTCACAGACTATATATTTAATGGTAAATGTGTTACTTTCATATAGAGCTCTTTCAAAATATAAACGTGACTGTAAGTGGTTGATGATGGGTGCTTCTAAAGTGAAATGATTGCAGCCCAGCATTATATCTCTTTATATTGCATAACAAGAGGCTTTGAAGATATTTTCCCCACTGATAAATACTATTTGTTGTGACTGTCACATTGTTTGCACAGAGAAGTGCTGGTGACAGATTAAAGGCTGCGTGGAGTATACTGTAGTCTGTTTTGCATCTGATCATGGTCAGTAATCATGTAATCCACTACCTTATCCTGTCAATCCATGTCAGTTTTGGCCCAGTTCTGTCAAGTTTTTGTCTCTGTCTTGTCTAACTCCGTCCACCCAGACAGGTAGGTGTGTCTCATTGGGCTGTCTGTTGAGTGGAGAACTTGCATGGGTTGACTCTTGAAGCATGGGAACAGCCAGTACAGAGCGTGGAATGTTAAATCTACTTTTTGTGAAGGATTAAGCGTTTCAGGTAACTGTGAAATTACAGCGTTGTTACCAGTTTATTGAAAGCCTATTTAAAGAGACATTCTAGGCAGTATGACCATCTCATTGCATTAGATACAGTGCTTGTAGTCCCCTGGCATTTAAACAATTTTCGAGCAGTTTAGCATTGAATGATCGTTTCTGGCCACCCACAGACAATCCCCATCTCGGAGAAATGGCTAAGGCAGAGATTACACACTTCCTTAAAGCCATACCAATTCATACCAACAATCGCGGCTGTGATAGACTGTAAGTGGTCAGCTGGTAATCTCAGCCAATCACAGGTGCCCATCACAAAAACAGAAGAAGTATCGTAAGGGCAGCAACCTCCCGAGCACGTAACCCAGGTCACCAATTTGAATCTTCCTTGAAAGATTTAGCACCTTGGTAGTAGCCCTGATTCCCAAATACTGGGGGATTTTTCTTCACAACAGGAACAAACCACACAGTCTTGTTTATCGAACACATAGACAGCAACTCTGGCTCCCACGAATTGTGGGAGTTCTAAGCCATATTATTATCATGAAAAACATTTTTGAAACGCCTCAACAAACAGAACTATTTTTTGGGGACAAATGAAACCCTTTTTTGTTTATTTAAATACCTAGTATATTTTTATGTTATTTTCTATTTTGCTTGCAATATAAATGCATTTCATCTAACTAACCATTTTTCTCTCTTTTATTTTTTTTTTCCCCTTCATTCTTTCTTTTTGTGCACACCATCCCAGATTATTTTAGGGAATCTGCTTGATCTAAATGTTTTTGGCAATTTGAATTTGTTTTTTTTTTCTCTAAAGGAATAACCATTAAGGAACTGGATAAACAGTGTGGTTACCATGTTAAGGGAATTTCAAAGAAGTTTATTGCAAACTGATTACCGGTAGTTTTTTGTTTGTATTCTGCATATTGTGCTGCGTGTAACAGCGGCGGACTGAGCGCCTTTGGGGCCCCTGGGCAAAATTAGATCCCAGGCCCTTTGAAGGCTAAATATATGTACAATAAATAAATGTTAAAGGGACACTCCAGGCACCCAGACCACTTCTGCCCATTGGAGTGGTCTGGGTGCCAACTCCCACTACCCTTAACCCTGCAAGTGTAATTTATTGCAGTTTTCATAAACTGCAATATTTACCTTGCAGGGTTAAGTCCTCCTTTAGTGGCTGTCTATCAGACAGCCACTAGAGGGACTTCTGTGTTCTTAGAACACGAAAAGTGTTTTAAGCGACGCTGGACGTCCTCATAGGGAAGCATTGAATAATGCTTTCCAAAGGGGTGGACTAATGTGCGATTAGGTCTCCCCCGCCGGCTGACTTGGCGGGGAGGAGAGTAGGTGGAGCCTGACCAGCGCCAAGGGACATCGATGCTGGGCTCCGGTAAGTCACTGAAGGGGTTTTAATCCCTTCAGCAACTTGGGATGGGGGGTGGGAGGGAGAGGGGCACTCCATGGTCCTGCAGTGCCAGGAAAACTAATATGTTTTCTTGGCACTGGAGAATCCCTTTAACTATAACTCTCATTTGATACGACATTCCTTTTGGATGTGTATATTGTGAAGACCTGTGTATCCATGCATGTTTGTATTTGAGTCTGTGTGTATGCACTTGTGCCTATCTGGATGACTACATGTGCTTTTTTTGTATATGGTTTCAGTGTGAATGCATATGTGTATTGAGCGTTAGTGTGTGTCTGCATGTGTAGGGGTATGGAATTTTTTTTTTTTTTTTAAATCTACTTGTCCAAGGGAGGTGACAGGTGACAGGGCGGGTGATAGGTGGAAAAGTGTAGTAGGTGGTGACAGCTGGCAGAGTTAGGGAGGGAAGGGGTGAGTGGTGGTAGAGTGAGGGGGAGACAATGAGGGGGGGTGACTGGTGACAGAGTGAGGGAGGGGGTGACCTAACAGACAGAGTGAGGGAGTGGATGATTATCATAAGAGTGAAGGAGGGAGGGGTGACACAGTGACAGAGAGGGAGGGAGGGGGGTGTTAGTGAGGGAGGAGGCTAATGCATGGAGGGAGGTGTGACACAGTGAGGTGACTAAATGACAGAGTGAGGGAGGGGTGACACTTATGACCCCATCTCTCCCCTTATTTCACTGTTTTAGATCAAATCAAGTGTTTGATTATTTGTCTATCTACTCCTTTCCAAATTGATTAATTAAATGCGTGCACGCTTTCCTAGAAAGTAATTCACACCAGATACAAGGTTCTGGTTCATGAAAGACGTCAGGAATCTTTATTCCAAGGGGTGGGATTCCCTTATAAAGCAGAAATACATCATATGCATAGTCACAGATAACACAAAGTATACTTTCAACAATTGGTTAACAGTCTAATGAGTCTTTCCTGAAACCACCCCACTGGGCGTGATCCCAGCATCGTCACATGACATTCCTTTGTATCCCAGCATCATTTTATTACACGTGGCAAGTCCTTGAGAGAGACGTTACTTGAATAAAGGAAGCCGGGGAGGGGTTA